GTAAAATCGTCGATTTCCAGCGTTTCTGTTGTCGACGTTTTTCGCCTTCTCACGTTTTCCCGATTCCAACGCTCCAAGACCGAGGAATTCTAATAAAAACCCAGGAATTCCAGAGATTCCTTTTGTTCAAGTTCAACAAATACGCCCCCCCTTCCAGGGGTCCCACACCTTCCCAGAACATCTGCGGAACGCCCCCAGTACCGCGCTTCCCGACCTCCCGGGGAGCCCCCGAAACGCCCAAGAACAGCCCAAGACGACCCCAAGAAGCCCCCAGAACGTAAAAGAACGGCACAAGACGCTCCCAAGCAACCCAGGATAGCTTTCGGGCGGCTCTCCAGGCTCCCAGGAGGCCTCCAAGAGACCTCAAGAGAGCTCCGAGAGGCCTCCCGAAAGCGCCCGGAGAACCTAAAATCGTTGAGTTTGATTGTTCCCGGCGGAGCCGGGTGAAATTCCGTGCCCGCCGGTGACTGACTGACTGATTGACTGACTGATTGACTGACTGAACGTCAGGAGGGCACCTTGAACAACACATGTCAACCCGCCCGCGGACGCGCAACAGCAACTGGGCGACACATTTCGACCCGTCCGCGGGCGCGCAACCGCAACCGCAACTGGGCGACACATCTCAACCCGCCCGCGGGCGCGCAACTGCAACCGCACCTGTGCGACACATTTCGACCCGCCCGCGGGCGCGCAACCGCAACCGCAAGTGGGCGACACATTTCGACCCGCCCGCGGGCGCGCAATCGCAACCGCAAGTGGGCGACACACTTCAACCCGCCCGCGGGCGCGCAACCGCAATCGCACCTGGGCGACACATTTCGACCCGCCCGCGGGCGCGCAAGCGCAACTGGGCGACCCATTTCAATCCGCCCGCGGGCGCGCAACCGCAACCGCAACTGGGTCACATTTCGACCCCGCGCCCGCGGGCGCGCAACAGCAACTGCAACTGGGCGACACATTTCAACCCCCGCCCGCGGGCGCGCAACCGCAACCGCACCTGGGCGACACATTTCAAACCCGCCGCGGGCGCGCAACCGCAACCTGGGCGACACATTTCAACCCGCTTGCCCGCCCGCGGGCGCGCAACCGCAACCGACACACTTGCGGGCGCGCAACCGCAACCGCAACTGGGCGACACATTTCAGTTCGCCCGCGGGCGCGCAACCGCAACCGCAACTGGGCGTCACATTTTTACCTGCCCGCGGGCGGGCAACCGCAACCGCTACTGGGCGACACATTTCAAACCGTCCGCGGGTGCGCAACCGCAACCGCACCTGGCCGACAGATTTCAATCCGCCCGCGGGCGCGCAACCGTAACTACGCGACACATTTCGACCCGCCCGCGGGCGCGCAACCGCAACCGCAAGTGGGCGACACATTTCGACCCGCCCGCGGGCGCGCAACCGCAACCGCAACTGGGCGACAGATCTCAACCCGCCCGCGGGCGCGCAACCGCAACTGGGCGACATATTTCAACCCGCCCACGGGCGCGCAACCGCAACCGCAACTGGGCGACACATTTCAACCCGCTCGCAGGCGCGCAACCGCAACCGCACCGCTCACTCGCCGTGCTCCTCCAGGAGGTCTGAGGCGGAGGAAGGGTGGAAGGGTGGTGGGAGGGAGGGGGGAGGGAGGAGGGAGGGGGGGGGGGGGAAGTAGGGGGGGAGGGAGAGGAGACGGAGGGAGGGTAGAGAGCTCACAATGACTGGGGGCGGACAACTTCTGCCCCCCCCCGCCCTCCCGTCCCACGCAAGTGGATCTCCACAAGGCTCCAGACCCTGGATTCCTTATCCAAGGCCTCCGCGGTCTGCTAGCGGGATGGGTGGGTTAACCGCCCCCGAGGGGGGAGACGAGGCTTTGACAGAAACGGTCCATTGCACCGCCTAGTTTGAAGTTTTGGGGGGCGACGCCGCGGGGATCGATTGCGCGTTCACCCGCGCGCAAGCTGCCCGCGGATGTAGGTGCATCGGCGCCGTCTTATTCATGCAGCCTGCCGCGTCTTATTCATGATCTGGTGCAGAAGCAGGTGGAAGAGGAGGGGGAGGAGGACGAGGAGGAGGTAAGGGAGGAGAAGGAGCAGCAGGACGAGGAGGAGGACGAGGAGGAGGAGGGGCAGGACGATGAGGAGGAGGAGGGGGAGGAGGAGGAGGAGGAGGAGGAGGAGGAGGACCAGGATGGCCAGGAGGAGGAGGACGATGGAGAGGGGGATGCCAGGGTGGTGCTGCTTGAGAAGGTGCACGAGCAGGTGCTTGTTGCGGAGGACGGAGGAGGAAGAGGTGGTGGACGTCAAGGAGGATATGGGCGTGGAGGTGGATACCCTCCTCGCGGCCTCCGGGCGTGACCCGCGGTTTTCTGCCGGGACATTGCATGGGGGAATCCCCATTCCACGCTGTTGCCTATGATTTTTTTATTGTTTTTGATTTTCTTACCATTTCACGCTTCCGAAGCTCCCAGACGGCCGAAGAGGCCCCCAAGATCGCCCAAGGGGCTCCCAAGACAGCTCCAAAACGGGCCAGGAAAGCCGCCAGACTGCCGAAGGCGCCCAGGACAGCTCCAGACCACCCCGGAACATGCCCAAGATGAGCCCAAGAGCGGGAGCAGGAAGCCTCCAGAGACCTCCGAGAGGACTCCGGCACCGCCCAGAGGCTTCCAACACAGCCCAGACCTTTGAGAGGCCCCCAAAAAAACCCGACGAGGGCCCCCAAACAGCCCAAAAGAGCTTCGAGAGCTTTCCAGCGTTTGTTTTGCCAACTTGTTTCGCCTTCTCATGTTTTCCCGCTTCCAGCGCTCAAAGACCGAGGAACTTGAAGCAAAAAAGGATTCCAGAAATCCTTTTTTTTTGTTCAAGTTGGAACTCCTACTCTCTCTATCGTCTCCCTCGAGCCCCATCAAGACTTCGGAGTCACATGCAAAGTTGATTCGGGAAAATTATTGAAAACTCTGGTGTTGCCTTGGCACTCTCTTGGATCGTGTTCGCATCCTTTTGGCAGCCTCTAAAACCACAGTATAAATCGAGATCCCATGGTCACATGGGTTGAAACATTGAAAATCCTTTTTATATCAAACTCACCACCTGCTTATTTCTGCACGAGATCCCGGGAGGCATCCCAACGGTCCGCGGCCTGTACCCTGAAGATTTGTAACCCACAGTCCAGGCACGGCAACTGGAAACACATGGGACATCTCACAAGCCTTTGCTCTTTCAAGCTCGCCCCCCTGTCTACTCTTGCACAACAGGTCACAACTAAGGCCCCCCTCAGCTCCCAGAAAAGAAACCAGGAAACTTTTGAGGGCCCCAAATCGTTGAATACCGAACGGAAAGTAATGATTTTTGGGTTTCCGCAGTTCCCCTTATACGGTTTCGACGCTTGCGCAGGGCCTCCAAGGGAGTCCTTGGATGCAAGAAGCGACAAAATTATATTTCCAGGTTTAGCCCATCAAGCCTAGCTAGAACTTGAGCGCGCGCGAAGCGCGCGCGATGGTTCCATACACATATATATATATATATGTATGTATGTATATATATATATACATATTGGTATGCGTGTATGTATGTATATATATATATATACATATATGCGTGCATTGTTTTGGGTGTGAAATCGTGGCTACAACCCAGTGGTGCAGATGCGACTATACCACTGAAGACGTCCCTGGCAACACTACACTTCTACATGTTATGTTTGGCTTGATATTGTATTATCCCATGCGTGCATATATTGAAAATGTATTGTTGAATCGACGTTTTAGTTCCCCTTATGAGGTATTCTAATGTCTTTGTATCAGGGGCCTGTAAGTGCTACCTGGGTGCACATTTGTGCCAGTTAATACTCTCCAGCAAGTGCTAACACTTAGTGTCTGCGAGTTCTTTTCTACGGAAGAGGGCCTGGCGGTCGGTCTGGCGGCTATGTTGTTGCCGTCGCCGCCCCGTCGATGTTTCGTCGCCGCCCGTCGTCTGAGCCTTCCGTTCAGTCTGGCGGCTATGATGTCGCCGTCGCCGCCGTCGTCGCTCGGCGCCTTGCTTTGCATTGCGTTGCGCTGATGTGCATTGCATAGCATTGCTTTTCACCACCACGAGTGCACCACATGGATAGCACCCCCTAGATTTCATTTCAAAGATTGTACGACATAGGTGAAACCACATATATTCCCCAACCGAGGTGCGCCCAGCATTTATTGCACAACATATGTGACCAGACGTCGGTTGCATCGCGTAGATTGCCCCACCCATATTGGACAACGTATGCTGCTAGAGACACACTGTGTGAGGTCCACGATGGCTAACATGTGTTTAGTGCTGCTGGTCATGTTATCTCTTCCTTACTGTATATGTTCGGCGGTCAGTGGATGAGTTCATTTGGAATAACTAGGTCATTGCCTCGCAGGGGTGGTCGCGGAATCCGGTTGCGAGATTCTTCAGTGGATTCTCCCATGGGACCCCTTGCATGAACCAATGCCTGCATTGGGGTCGCAATAGGGCCTGCCTGTGTCCACGTGGGCCCGCGTCCTTCAAATTTCTTGGGATTGTGTGGAGCTCCTTTGTCGCACGCATCGGTCTGATCCTCGTAATCGCACGCGTCTGTCGGATCCTCGCGCGGGGATGCATGTGCCCGCCTCATGAGTGATATTATCTGTGCTGTTCGGTGGACCAGTTCATCTTCGAGATCAGGAAGGAGAGAGGGGCCACGATGAGGGCTTCGCTTGGGGCCTTCGCCTCAGTGGTCACGATTGTCTGGGGCTTCCACAATTCCGCCGCCCCACCCTCCCCACCCGCACATGCGGCGGCTCGCCAACATGCGCGCTCGCTCCGCCGCCCCCCTTGTCCGTATCGCCGCGCGGCGCGCGGTTCATGAAGAGAGTGGCGCGCATTGCGCTGCACGCCGCTGCATCGGTTTTTCAGGGAAGGAACGCGCAGCTGCATAGTATGGGGCCGCTCGCTGGGCTAATTTTGGGGTGTGCCGCGCGCAGTGCTTGCGTTGAGGGCCGCGGCCGCCGAGGTTGCGAGCTCCGCCGCTGAGGCGCGCCGACGAGCAGCACACGGGGCTGACCAAGGCCACGCCGTGCTTGCCTCTGGCCTGGTGGCGTGCCAGTGTTCCTGTCTTCCTTCTGCACCCTCGTGCCCCCGACTCCATGCCACTCGTCCCCCACAGGGTCCTGCGTTCCAGCCGTGAATCCCATCTGTGGACCACCATTGGTGGCCAGGTCCCTCCACGGCAGCCCGACCATGCCGCGCGAGACACGCGGCCAAGGCAGTGCGCACATCATTGTCCTTACCTCGATGTGCAGTGCCTGGTATTCTATGAGTGGTGACCGTGCCTTGGATACCGGCGATGCAGGTAGATATGGTCACGAGTCGCCACGCGAGTTATCATTTCTGCATGTCAGGAGGAGCGGGGATCATTCATTGCCAGGCGAGTATCTCCCTGAGCATACTTCGTGCACCATCCCGCCTCTGACCCGAGGCGGAGTTCGCAGAGCTCCTGAGGATGACCGCCTGACGCGCCGCTTGTGGCCAGAGGGGGCGAGGGCTGTGGGGCTATGCGCGCGGGGGCAAGTGAACAGGGACAGTTGCCAGGGCTCGTCCCCCCAGCAAACACGCAACCGCCGCATCGTCACGGCAGCCTCTGCAGCGGAAAGGATTGCTTGACCATTTAAAGTGTTATCTTTTGTTGTATGTGTTGTTTGTTGTTATCTCTCTCCTTCTCTCTCTCTCTCTCTTCTCTCTGTCTCATCTCTCTCTCTCTCTCGTTGTGTCTGTTTCTCTCTCTCTCTCTCTGGTTTCATCTCCCTCTCTTTGCCTATGTACATGTATAGTCTTCTAGCCCTGGGATGGATCCACGCTTCATCCTTGTGATGGTTGTCAAGTCAGGCGCAGGAGGTGTTCTAAGAAGAGCCCGATCAACGTATGGCATACAAGGTATTCGCTGGAGGAAGACGAGATCGGCGTGACTTGTTAGAACTTGTAAGGCAGGTAGCTCAGAAGGCTGCCTTGCTCAGTATGCAGCAGCACCACATCGCAGAAACGGAGTGCGCGTCCTGCGCCGGCTGTCCTGTCCAGAACGGAGACACGGCCCCTCCTGGCGCTGGGTAGTCTTGCACTTCGTGCTCCAGGAGTGCACGACGGTTCTGTAGGAAAATCGGTGGTAGTGCGAACGGCACGGGGAGAGACCCCCCGACGGGTGTGGGAGCCATCGGCGGGTGCAGGAGCCCGAGCATGAGTGTTGAGGATCATCCGCGGGAGCGCGAAGCTACTCGCGCTTCTCGGCCCGGGCCGGAGAGCTGCCCTGCTCCAGAAGGGCGGCGGGAGGGCGCGAATGGCCAGAAAGAGCAGGGGCCCTGGGTCAGTCTTTGCCGTTCGTCGGCCTCGGGAGGCCCCCTCCGGGGCCTCGGGATCGTCCAAACACCGCTTGGGACGAAGATCGGGTCCTGGAGAACCCCTGGGGGCAGGGCAACCCGCTTCTAGCGTACCAGGAGGAGGAGGGGGGGGGATGGGGGATGGGGGAGGGGGGGGGGAGGGGGAGGGGGAGGGGGAGGGGGAGGGGAGGGGGAGGGGGAGGGGGAGGGGAGGGGGAGGGGAGGGAGGAGGAGGAGGAGGAGGAGGAGGGAGGAGGAGGAGGGAGGAGAGGAGGAGGAGGAGTAGGAGGAGGAGGAGGAGGAGGAGCAGGAGGAGGAGGAGGAGGAGGAGGAGGAGGAGAAAGAGGAGGAGCCAACATAACCGCGCGTGGAGAGACTAGGTGACCTAGGAGCTCGGGATGCCCGCCATCCACCGCCGCGCAGGCACGAAGCCGTTTAGGCTCATGCCTTGCTGGCAAGAAGTCTGCGGATCGTCTCCCGGGCGATCCCCGGCCAGGTCTTTGCCGCCGAGAAAGCGTGCGAGAGTGCGACCGTCACGAGGGGGACAGGGAGGATGAGGATCGAGCATCGTGGTGTCAGGGTGCTCTCTTGGCTCTCCTTTGTTTCCTCCCGGGGCGTCCTCGTCGCCACGGCTGGATCCGCTTCTCGTGTTTCCACGACCCACGATCCAGTACAGAAGTGATGCCCAGGCGAGCTGCCTTGATCAGGCAAGTGATGGAGCAAACAGTGGATCAAGAGGGGGGGGAATCTGGGCAGCCGTCAAACCGAAGTTCGGGATGAGACGGAGCAGGCCCATGAGACAACCGCACTTCCTTCAGCAGCTTATTTGGGGCCATCTTTGGGCCCTCTTTGGGGGCTGTTTTGAAAGCCGTTGTGGCTCTCTTGGGGCCCTTTGGGGACCTCTTGGGAGCCGTCGGACACAGCTTCAGCCCCCCCGTCGGACACGACAAAAAGAACATACCCACACCGTGGTAGCACCGACAGGGCCGACCGCCCAACCTCTTGTAGCGCGTGTGGCCATCTTGGAAACCTCCCAAGGATGTTCCCGAGAGGCCAACATCACTGAACACAATGTGGAGTTTCAATTCGTTTGGCTTTCGGCATTGGTGCAGCACCAAGTTGCCGACCCCCTGTCAGTAGCCGCCGTGGCTAGATACATGTTGTGTCTGGAGGCCCCCCTGAAGCTGACACCTGGCTATAGAGCCTCTTGTCTTTCAGCAGTCGTGCAGGAATGTAGCCATATCGGGCACTCGAAGGGAGATTCGTCCCCGAATCCTGGGAGAAAGCCTTGCCTACCCCTTCGTGGACTCGCGGCCTACTCGCGGCTCTCCTCGTCCACGCGAGGGTCGCGTGGCAGAGGAGCGTGGCTGTCCAGGTGTGCTCTGGTGCCCCCCCCCACTCTCTCTCGGACCGCACTTGCCTGGATGTGTGCTTCGGCGTGCGGCGCGTCCTCCCGACACCCTCGGAGCCAGCACTGGCCAGACGACGGCCGAACCAAAAGACACCCCCCACTCTGTCTCGGACCGCACTTGCCTGGATGTGTGCCTCGGCGTGCGGCGCGTCCTCTCAACGCCCTCGGAGCCAGCACTGGCCAGACGACGGCCGAACCAACAGGCACACGCGCTTCGGGCCCTCCGCGAGGCCCGCCTTCCAGCAGCGCCCAGACACCGGTGTGCACGGAGGCGGCGGCTTCGTCGAGGGCGCGGCCAGCCAACCACGCTGTCGGCAGGCCTACACACTGCCCATGTCTGATTATTCGAAAAAGTTCTTTGATTTTTGTTGGTGGGGGGGCCAAGATCCTTTCATTTCTAATCGTTCTGTCCTGAGCCTCTCCCTGGCCACTAGGGGGCCAGGAACAATTTAGACACGAGCACGGTTAGAAGTGAGCGCGATTAGACATGAACGACGTGTACAGGTCGGGATCCGGGCTGGCTCCCCGAGCCCCGTCCCCAGAGGCACCAGGAAAAAGGAGCCCGGCCTCCGGGGACGCGGCGCGGGGAGGTCTGGTCCCCACTTCAGGCAAGACGCTGAATCAGGGACCACCTTGTGTTCAGGGGGGGCGGGGCTCTGGTTTTCGGGGCCGCTCCTTGGCTCCAGGGCGGGGAGCCTATCCAACGCCGAGGCTCGCCGTGGCCAGAGGACCGAAGAAAAAACAATGCCATAAACAGAAACCCTCCTCCTCCTCCTCCTCCTCCTCCTCCTCCTTCTCCTGCACTCCTGCTGAAAAAGTCGGCCCCCAGGCCTGTCCAGGCGTCCGTCCTGGCCGGGAGATCGAGGAGGCAACACAACAAAAAGGCACGTCGAAATTCGTTGGAAGGCCCAGCCAGGGATCGCTGTTCATCATTTCAAGGTTTTTGTTGGGTGAAGACAAAGGGCCCCAAAGAGGCACTTTAGGGCCCTTTGTGGATCCAGCAGGGCCCCCAAAGGGACCCTGGAGTACCCCTTCAGGGCCCTTTTCTTCATCCCCCATTTAGGTCACCCCCCCCATTTCCAGCCGCCCGATTTTGGTCACCCTTGTCGGGGGCGGCCAAAATGGGGGTGATGGCTAGGGGGGGCTATATCATGGCGGGGACCATGATATCTCCAGAGATTTCATGGCGCCTCTTCTTATTGGAATGCGTCTCCGCTCCCCCCCTGGGCCGCGGACATGACGCCAGCCATGATTTGCGCCCACCATTGTTGGACGCCCTCCTCTTGGACGCCCCCGATCATGAGATTAACGTCGCTGAGACGTCATACAGCTCATGATTGCGACCCCATCGTCGCAGGATTTGATGTAGACAGGTGGGCATGCACGCGTGTATTTGCTCCAAGGGACGGCATGTTGTGGCAGGTTGGCCAGCGCGCTTTTCTAAGCTTTCGGTTCGTTCCCTCCTCCGCCCCCAAGCCTCTTCTCTTCCGCGCCAGCGTCCTCGTCTCACCTGGGAGGAAGGGGTGGCGGGGACGGTCCTGCGTCCTGCAGCAGGACAGCTTGCCGACCCCCAGTCGCATTTAAGGAGCTGACCTTGCCATGATGGGGCCCGTTTTTCTACCTCCCCGGCGACAACGGCAGTCACCGGGTGGGGGGGGAGGGGGATGGGCGAGTGGGCCGGTAACGCCACGATTCGCGCTGGCTCCGTCCTCGGGAATTAGTTCCCCCTAGCGGTTCCCAAACGGCGCTGGCGCGAACCGTGTCGGTACCAGAGGTTGGGGAGTGGGAGGGAGGGGGGGGGGCCTCCCCGGCAACGGCCGTCATCGCGAATCGTAGAAAACCGCGCTCGTGAAAATAAGACTCTCCGAGGGAAGCCCCAGCCTGGGATCGCCCGCCCATCCGCCCACGGGGCGGCTGGGTGGATGACCACGGTCGCACCCCCGACCGTGGAGGAGCGCCCGCTCCGCCGCGCCAGCGCGTCGCGGCTGCCACCGCCTCTGGGCCGCGGCTCGGGGTCTTGCCGCCAGAGAGGCGGCAAGACCTCTTGCCGCCGAACTCCGCCTCGACCCTCTGGCTCGCCGCGCAAGAGGGCCGACGTGCTCGGCGGCGCACACAATCTGGGCCTCCCAAAGGGGGTCCGAGCAGATGGGGTCGAAGGGTCGCGCCGCATCGCCGATGCATCGGCAAGGCGGCTCCATGTGGAGCTCGATTTTCTCCATGCCAATGGCTCTGATGCATCGCCGACGTCGCCGATGCATCGACGATGCATCGGCGATGCGTTGGCGATGGGGCGCGATCCCACGACCCCATCCACTTCGGACCCATAAGGGAAGCCTCTGCACTCGGGGGCGGCGTGAGGGTGGCTGCAGTCTAGGAATGCGGCGGGGCTTCTGAGAAGGCAGGGGGGTGCTTCTTAGAAGTCCGCCCGGCGTCTGCGAAGCCTTCATGGAGGCGTCGGGACCTCCGAAGTTCCTCCGCCATCTTCTCGGAAGTTCCTCCGCCATCTTCTCGGAAGTTCCTCCGCCATCTCAGTAGGCCATCCCTTTCTCGCCACCCCCTGGCAGGCCCCGCCAAAGAGTGGATCGAGGGCCGATGGCCCTTTCTGGGGCCTCCAGGGGCGCCCTCGTGGCCACGGCTGGGCGCAGCTCGGAGGACTGACCGGTTTTGAGCAGATTCTGGCGAGCAAGACGCCGTCGACGACGATGTCGTCCCTGTCGGTGCTCTTTGCTAATC